ACAATTCAATACTTTCGCCCGGCAGCTTCTGTTCTGCCGGATTAATAGACTTAAGCGACGACGGCGGCGGCTGTTGCTCCGCACGGCTTTCGGAAAATTATTCACCGCTACCTCATGAGAATATCGCGTGTACGACGGCCGAAAATCAACAGCGGCAGAATGCATTCGGTCTGGCGACAACAGGTGCAAGCAGGTGTCTTTATCTGTGGAAGCACCGCGATAAATGGCCGCTGACTTCGCAATAATACAATTGGTCTATGGATACACGTTCCTCTTGGCCCCATTATACATATCCGCGCTCTGTTTCCCGACGCGTTACCAGCTCGTGCCCGCGCACGACAATCCCCCTCAAAGAGATTCCGTGTCGCTTAACTTTCGTTTACTTCGCCGCCGTAAGTGTGTCGGCACGATATCGACGGCTTCGATCATGCCACCGCGTGCGGGAAACTTTAATTCGAACTTGCTCCTTATGCATCGCTGGAATTCATATCGGTGGAAACACGTAGATACGAATTACGTGTACCTCCAGAAAGTTACGAAATTTCCGATTTTCCACGAATTCTCGATATATTCGGAACTGTTTTACACAGTTTCGCGAAAACAAGATGCACGGCGATAAAATCTCCACTCGCGTTTCAGAACTCGCCGCCTATACAAGGTGTCCCGAAAATGTCTCGCAAACCGGAAATGAGAAGTGCCTGGGATCATTCGAAGTAACTTTCTCCTCAGCAAAAATGCAACCCGCGGCTTCGTTTACGAATTATTAACGAAAAACACTGACCAACGAGAGGCGAGCTCGCCTAGCGCTTGGCGGCCGAGCCAATGAGCGCGCGAGGTCCAGTTCCGCTCATTCGCTCGGCCGCNTTTTCCACGAATTCTCGATATATTCGGAACTGTTTTACACAGTTTCGCGAAAACAAGATGCACGGCGATAAAATCTCCACTCGCGTTTCAGAACTCGCCGCCTATACAAGGTGTCCCGAAAATGTCTCGCAAACCGGAAATGAGAAGTGCCTGGGATCATTCGAAGTAACTTTCTCCTCAGCAAAAATGCAACCCGCGGCTTCGTTTACGAATTATTAACGAAAAACACTGACCAACGAGAGGCGAGCTCGCCTAGCGCTTGGCGGCCGAGCCAATGAGCGCGCGAGGTCCAGTTCCGCTCATTCGCTCGGCCGCCTTGCGCCAGCATATCTCGCCTCTCATTGGTCACTCTTTTTCGTTAACAACTCGTAAGCAAAGCCGTGGATTGCATTTTCGCCAAGGACAAACTTGCTTCGAATTACCTCAGGAATCTCCCGTTCTCGGATTGCGAGACATTTTTGGGACATCCCGTATGTCCGGAACTGCGTCGTTCATTTTTCCCCTCGCGTGGTTCTTGCGCGCGATACGGTCCGCATAATGGTCGGATTATCTTATTTTATAATTATTTTGAACCCTTATCAAGCTTCAGAATTTAAATTACAGCGCGCAAAAAATTCCCCGTGTAAACAGCAGTGCCGGGTGGAGACTGCAACCTTTTGTGCCAACTTTGAAATGCCAATTAATTTTTTGCAAAACCGCGTAAACCGGTTTTGTAAGCAGAGCTTTACACGTACGCTCGTATTTTGCGAATTATTCTACATTTTCGAAGCGAATAAAACGCGGTTAAATTCTTCAAAATGTCGTATTCGAAAACTATGAGACGAATTTCACTGCAGTAAGTATTTACTGGTATACGTAAAAGTGTGAATGTAATTTATTTTGAAGGACATTTTACATTGGAAGAACAAACTGTTAAATGAATATCTTGTTTCAGTGAATCTTTACAATCCTTTTGTAAAGTATTAACCCTTTGCACTCGAGTGGCGACTCTGAGGCATCACTAAAATTGTTACATCACGTTCGAAGATAATTTTTATATTATTAAAGCTTAGTTGTAAAAAATTGTTAAAAGTCTAACTGTTGTATGAGTCACAGACTCAATTTCGTATGCACAAAATGCACTTTGTCACATAAAATGGATATACCATAAGTCGGAAAAATTAATTCAGATTTACGGTTAAAATGGCTTCGAGTGCAAAGGGTTAAGACATTTAGCAATACCGCAGATCAAATTATTCGTTATACGGATACTACGTCAAAAACTGTATTTGTACGATAAAGTAAATTTTTACATCCTACGAATAAAAGGCAGTACTGTTACACTAAATTCGAAATGCTCCACTGTATCAAAGGCGGGACTGATAGGAGAGGAGGAAATCCCTTCAAGCGTCAACCAACTCTCCGCGACCCCGCAAAATGCTGGCGAGCCCGACCGGCTCGCGTTGTTGTCGCAGTTAATTTGTCAATGCGATCTTGCTATAAATAATTAAGATGAAGGATGGCGGGACCGGTTCCGCGCGCGTGCCCGCCGAGAAATACGATCCGACGTTCGTTCCGGTTGTAAGTCGCGGCGCCGGCAGTTACGAATAAAAGAGAATTGCTTTAATTACGGCATGCCATTTGCAAACAGCCGGCCGTGCACTTTGATAGCCATGCTTCGCAGCTCATTTCTGAGGGCGCGGAACGTCGGGAGCATGGAAAGAGACCTTTCCAGAATTTATGTACGCGTGTTACGTGCCTTTACCCGCGCCGGCTACATAGGCCATTACTAATCCGAGCCGCCGCGTCCGCGGCCGGCATTAATCCTGCGGCCCGCGCAAAGAATGGTTTCGACGAGAGAACGTCGGTTACATAAATTTCGCCAGCCCCGTATCTAATAATTGCAACCACTTGCTGTACACTGCACCGAAACTTGAGAGGCTGCACCGACATTGGATACTTGAAGCCGATGGTTTCTTCGGGATTGGACCGCTTTGACGCAGCCTCGTGAACATTCTAGTACAGTAATTCCTCCCTAGAATGCCAAATTTCGGGTCGCTGTGAATTTCTCTGTGCCAGTTCTACGTCTATGTAATTTATCGCTACGTCGATGCTAAGAATCGACGGAGTCGGTCGTGTGCTGCGAATTCCCGGAAGACAATACAAAATGGTCTGTTTGCCTTCGAATCGTGGCACGTGGCCTCCGAATTGCCTTCGAATCGGGGCAAAAAATTAGAAATAAAAAGGTTAAGTCATCGTTTTTATTCTAGCGTTACTATGCACTCATATTAACACTTATTAGCGGCCACTGACGCCACAGTTGTGTCATGGCACAAGCTGACGTTAACAGCCGCTGGTACAACATGCGTATCATGCGCGGCGTATTCAGGAAAAGTCGCTACGCAAGGAGTGGGGGCAGGCGACGCATGCGCGAGAGTCCGGCACAGCGGCGTGGCGCGTCTACAGGGTGACGCCTATTGTATTAACCTATTGTATAAAACATTGACTCCCTCTGAAGGTTTCTCAGAAACCTTTCTCATAAAACCGCGCAGTCCATAAAGTATTAATGTACAGTGGCATGCTGGCCGCTGCCTTTTTCCCCCGACTGCCCCGAGTTTCTATAAAAACGAGCCGCGAGGCTCGAAGAATCGTGTCCGACTATCTGGCGATTACCGTTTCTAATTCCGAGCTTCGTGCCTCTTTTAGGGAGAATTTGCTGCACCTCTTTGTTATCGAACGTGCATAGTTACCAATGAATCAATCTCTACCGATCGTTCCAAAATAACATTTGTATAACAGAGGTTAGGCATGCTTTCGGTGGTCCCCGGCATACTAACAATTACGCTAATTTATTCATGGCATTATTTAAGCGACAGCAAGTAAGATACTGTTCCCGGATCGATTGATATTCGCCGACCAGCATCGGGGCGCATACCGATTCGTCGGTTGAAACGAGGATTAGAATTTAGATGGAACATTAGCGGGATTCAGCGCGGTCGTAATGCTCGAGTACCAACTGCGGCGTTTCTATATTATATGCACGTCTCGTATTGTATTAAACGCGTTAACGCGAATCACTAATCCGGAGAGGAACACGGCTGACGATCCAGCCGCGCGGAAGCGCACGCAAGTTTTCTGCTGCATCACCGGCACGCATTGTTGTTCGGATGGTTTGGTAATGGCGGCAACGGCCGCTGAAACTGTAGCTCCGCAACGCCGTGGAAGTTTTCGTTAAATCCGATCGAAGAGTCGCGATTTATGGACATTAAATTCTGTGTATCGCAATGTGACACATCCTTGAGGATAAAACGAAAACTTGAATCGGCGGTCCAACGAATGGTGTTGAACAGTCCCATTGGTCATTTTTATGGAATTTATTGTCTCGACACATGTTCATGTTACAGTGGAACTACGCTTATAATATTTACATTTTAGAACCCTGTCCTGAACTGAATCCTCTTATACGAACGTGGGCTCCTATTAAATGAAAGAAAAATCATAGTCAGTGGTGGACTCCTATAAACCGCATGATTATGTAGTATAATAAAACACGTAATAACATATAATACAAAATAATACTCTAAGCTAGAACTTGAAAAATGTGTTAAACAATATAATCGATAGACAATTTGCAAATATCTGTTCGAGATAAAAATGTTCTAAATCCATTTAGACGGATTTTTAGACATTCGATAGAAGTTACATCAAACACAGATTTTCTGTTATCAATTTCAGTAAGTTTGAAATAACTCTTACATTCGGATAACGTCCTCACATTTTTCTGTTTCACCTGTTCACGTGTGCCGCGAGTGCATAAACTTCGCGATCTAGTTATCAACGATACCAGAAAGTCCTCGACCGTAGAAGGGCTGCGATAACTGCGATCGCCAAATTATTCCGGAAATGCTCACTTCTCCCGGACACCGAGATATCGGCCGGACCATAGCGGCGTGAATATTTATTTGCGTAGTTCGAGGGGGAATTTCATGCGAAATTTTCGGCCCGACAATAAGTCGGAATTGAGTGCACGGCGAGCTTGATTACGCGAAATTTGCCTCGCCTTGTGTTCAATCCGTCCAATTAGTCCGTAATGGGACGAGCGCGGTTTCGCCGGAACTTCTTGTTACTAATGTTTGGTGTTCTGATTTTCGTTTCAGGAGGGCTCCGGACAATGGGTCAGTCTCGATCTAGAGCTCGAGATGAGAGGCGCCGAAATCATCGGCACAAAAAAGCCAACCGGGCACTCGCTTCTAATAGACTGCCGTTTGGAGCTTCCCTTCGGTAAGTCAGCAGAAAATTTCCCTTATTCGATCGGTAGACCGGCGCGGCGAAAGCATGATTGTCGTATGTAAGCGTACACGATCGCGAACCCTATGTGTACCCGCATCGTAATGGTAAATGAATAGAAACAATTCACGGTCTCCCAGAAATACGAACTTTCGAGAAATTGGACGTCGCTGATCGAAAACTGTGATTTTCGTTCGACGATCCACTTGTTTAGTTTTTAAACTTGTTCTTTATTTCGAGGTGCCTTTAGCTTAGAAAGATTGGTCGTTTCGAAGAATTTATTTTGAGCGAATTAAATGATACAGAGAGTTGCAAATTCGTTGTTATTTAGTCAGATGTGATTCGGTATTATGCTATCTGCTGTGTATTACATTTGACGATGCTGATTATAGAACGCCGACGATAAAACGAGTGAAACTGAAAAAACACGAATGGTTCTTAAAATGTATAATATTCTCGCAATCATCGTAATCGCAGATGACTCGACGAGCGAGCTTATATACAGTAATGTCTCCCTAACTGACGCTCAGATTGTGCAGAAGAATGGACAATTTGGGAAGAGGAGATACGATTATTGGAGCCTTGCAGTTCGTTTTTATAGTTTCGAATTGTCAACGACTATAAGAACGAACTGAAGGACTCGAATAATCGTATCTCCTCTTCCCAAATTGTCCATTTTTTTGCACAATCTGAGCGTCAGTTCGGGAGACATTACCGTACTTTAAAAATCTTTCTTCTCATTTTGGTCAATTTTATGCGAACCTTTGCACTTCAACGATTCATCAACGTCACCTATGATAAGCATCGTTACACAGAGTATGTAACTAAAAGCCTACAATCACGTCCGAATATAGTAGCAAGTGCCATTTAGTTCTGCATTATTTAGATTCCTTGTAATGAGTTTCTAAAAATTACTTACCTTTGCGTGACCTCGTACGAAAGCATTCTTAAAAGTTGTGTACGCGCGATAGGAATCGGTATCGTGTGAAAATTGAAATTTACGAAACAGAGTAAATTGTCGTTGGACCGTACAATGAGATGGAAACTCAACTTTTACCATTATCTTCCTGTGAAAATGATTGTCCGCGCGGCGTATTATTCGGTACAATGGATCGCTGATAGTATACAATGAAAAGCAAAGATGCGATATTCCGAGCCTCTATCGGGCTCTCTTATTACCTCGGTATCGATTCGGTATTTATTATTTCAATCAGAAGGCGCCGCGAGAGAAACAGTTGAATCAACTCGCAGGAATCGAATATTGCCCGTAAAGGCGGAACGCTCGTCAAGATGGCGTTCTGCAATTCAAATCAGAGTGTGAATGAATTGCCTTTCATGGGATCGCGTGTATTGATCGAAAGCGATGTTTTAAGTCTGGAATTTCATTTTCGTGCGTCGAGGCGTTTTATGAACTGAACGGATAACGTTCCGGATTAGATAATAGAAGAAAATGGATAATGGTTTTTCTTTCTTTCCTTTTTTTACAAATCGGACAATCGATAATGAAAATCAACGTGTCATTCCGATTGCACGCTTCGAATTCATTGACAAATGATGCGTCGGCACTTTATTTTCCGATTTTAGTACTTTATCGACGTCATATTTCATTATCTTGATTGCGCGGAGTGCTTCGTTAATGGTTGCGACTTCAGATATTAATGCAACAGAGTGAAACAATTGAAACGTTTATTCGGCGTGGGACAAGTATTTATTGTTCGCTATGAATTTTCATATTACATGCTTGCGGTGTTGTAGAAAATTTGATAGAGACTCCAATGCGCGAATAAACTGAATTCGATCCAGAAAAAAGAGGATTTATTTTAAATTTATTCATCGGATTAAACGGTGTTTAATTGTACAAAATCGTTTGTCTTTTGCCGGATCGGTTTTGCATGAATAATGTTATCGCGAAACGACGGTCTAATTATGATCCTTGAATGAGAAGGCGCAGATTTAAAATCGAAATTATTTCTATTCATTTATCCAACCCCCCCGAGAAAGACCCTTAACGAACCGTGATCATGGTGCACGCAATGAGCGCCATGCTTTCCACACGAATTTAACTAACGCTGACGCGGAACAAGTAGACAGCTCTTTACTGTGCGAGATATCTGAGAGCGTGAAGCGATTGCCAAAAGCGTTACAAGCGACTCACAACCTAAACCAGTGCCGTTAATCATCGATGGTTTAACTTCGTCCAACACGAGAATCTACAGGTTCTAACATTGCGATGCTCGCTCGATTGATTTAGAGGGATTTTATGATGATCAAAGTTTCAATGAAAACGTTTTAGCCGTGGACGATGCTGATCTAACTATACAGGGTGTCTCGCATTAAACAATCTTCTAATTTTCAAACGATCTTTTCCAAGTGCAAAATAATTAGATATTATTTTTTAACCATTTCTAAAGTTGCTGGCAGAGATCCTATACAGTTTTAAGAAAGATGTTTTATTATGGATACGGATCTTATTTATAATATTTGTCTTTTCATGGATTATTTTCACTCGATTTTATTTACATTCCACTTACCTAATTATAGGTAGTATCTACTCTGGTTGTAGAATTGTTGGTTATATCTATGTATTCCTTTCGTTTGACCGTACACGATCTTTTTTACTTGCCTGACCATACATAATATATTACATTTGTCTGACAAGACACAATCTATTCTACTTGTCCGACTATACATAGTATGTTCTCCCTGTCTGAGCGTATGCAATATATTCTACTGGCCCGATCATGCACAATTCCGTATACCTCTCTCGTCTCGTACACAATTCAGTCCACTTCTATCATCGTACACAATTTATACTACTTGTCCGATATGTACAATTTATTCTACTTATCTTATACTATGAAATGTGTTTTACCATGTTATACCATACATTATCTCTGTTACTTTTTAAATCTTAGGTCGTCTATACTCGACTTGTCCAGCTATGTAGTGCACTCACATTTCGCTTTCCTAATCACAACCATAAAGGTTTCGTGAAAAAGAAAACACAAAAAAAGAAAACACTGAATATAAAGCGTTTTCTTCATATTTAATCGATTTCTTTCTTTCATATTCCTTTTATTACAATGTTCCATCGGGAAGTTTATTACTTTCGGGTAGATTAATCATTGATCATTAATGCATAACTAAATAATCTGTTTACGGGTACGGCGTCGGCGATTTAACAATTTAATAAGTGATTCAAAATAAAACTGATCCTGAATGTATTCGTATAAACAAATTCTTATAAAATTAGATATAAACAAAAACACTCAACAATTATTCGCATTAATATTGTAATAACTCGAATAAAGAATCATTCGAATAAATAGATAGAATAATTCATGGCTAATAACGAATGATCATTATTCGAATAAATAGATAGAATAATTCATGGCTAATAACGAATGATCATTATTCGAATAAACTATTCGACCGAAAAGAACGCGTACGGATAATTACCTTGGATAAATATTTATTCGCAAAACGCTTCGAATAATGCCCAACGCTGGTCCCACACTGCGAACCATAATCCGGTTAGCTCGCGCGCGATTAAAACGGGACCACGATAAACTAAACTAAATAGATAGAATAATTCATGGCTAATGACGAATGATCATTATTCGATTAAACTATTCGACTGAAAAGAATGCTTAGATAAATATTTATTCGCAAAACGCTTCGAATAATGCCCAACGCTGGTCCCACACTGCGTGCCATAATCCGGGTAGCTCGCGCGCGATTAAAACGGGACCACGATAAACTAAACTAAATAGATAGAATAATTCATGGCTAATGACGAATGATCATTATTCGATTAAACTATTCGACTGAAAAGAATGCTTAGATAAATATTTATTCGCAAAACGCTTCGAATAATGCCCAACGCTGGTCCCACACTGCGTGCCATAATCCGGGTAGCTCGCGTGCGATTAAAACGGGACCACGATAAACTAAACTAAATAGAGAGAATAATTCATGGCTAATGACGAATGATCATTACTCGATTAAACTATTCGACTGAAAAGAACGCTTAGATAAATATTTATTCGCAAAACGCTTCGAATAATGCCCAACGCTGGTCCCACACTGCGAACCATAATTCGGTTAGCTCGCGCGCGATTAAAACGGGACCGCGGCGCTAGTAGAACGGAAACATAGACTCGAGCCTCGATCATCAGGTATCAGACGCAGCAGAGTCTACGAGATCACGTCGTCGGCGGTGTTAAATCGCTGGAAGAAAGAGGTAGACAAAGGTTAAACGGGGAAAAAGGAATGCGGTTGCGACGGTGAAGTTGGAACGGGGCATGCGTCGCCGCGGTGAATCCAAGGGGGTCGAGTGAAATTGCCTGGCAGTAACCAGGGCCACTCGTGTAATCGAGGCGATAATGAAATGCCAGTAGATCGTGTGCCCGGTTCTCTGTGATCGACGTAGATCCACTCGAGAAAAAAATGAAGACAGAACGCTCGCCGTCCCTGCGCCTCCGCTACTTCGTTCGAGTGGCTCGAACTTTTAATTGAGTACGTCTAGAAACTTGTCGAGGCTTTGGCATGGCGCCTGTCCTGTTCTACAACCCCCTGTGTTTCGTACTACAGAAAATAGTACAAACGCAAGGCGAATCCATTGTCCGCTGCGGGCTGCGACGATGTTTCCACTGCAGACAAAAATATATCGCACGGAACAGTTTCACGGTATTTATTTAAGCCCGTTGTCCCGCAGTTTCACGTTTCCAAGATATCGGCCCAGCTTCGAAGCTTAATTACACCCTCTATTTGAAATCTCTTCCGAACAGAAAAATATTTGGACGCAATGTCGGAGCAGTTTCTCACGCGGTATCCGGCAACGTAGATTTTTGCTATACCGCAGATTTTATACCCTTACGGCAGGAATTAGCGGATCAAATGTCGAACAGTAAAACACGTTCGAAGACAGGTTTCGGTAAATTTCGATTTTCTAAATTGAAATTATTCTAAAAATTGAAATCTGTCCGGGCTGT